CCGCCTCCTCCCCAGCCCAAATCGCCCCCACCCCATCTCCAAACCCTGCTGAAAAGCAGCGAGCGGAATCCAAAAAGGAAGGAGAGGAGGAAAAAAAAAAGGCAAGGAAAAAAAAAAGCAGCAACTTCACAAGCCACCCCTTGTACTTGTTCTGCTGTGAATGCTTACGAGGGGTGTGCCTTCAGGAAAATGAATACAAATCTGCAATTGATTTTCATAATGTTTCTGCGGTGTTTGCAAACCAATCGTTTGAACCTCTGAGATCTTACCTAAGTGAACCACTCCTACGCATCTAAGTGCTCCAAACTGATATATGACAATATCTACTTTGGATCACGTGTCCTCCGGAGCGACTAAGACGGATAGCGCGTCATCTCGCCTTCCCAAATTTTTTCCCCTCCGCACATCGGATCCAAAACATCTAGCTATAGGAGCAAGAAAAGGAGAAAGATGTTTAACTCGGTGAACCTGGGCAACTTCTGCTCCCAGTCGCGTAAGGAGAGGAGCGCTGAGTTTGGAGAAAGGGCAGGTTGCGCTTCTAATCTCTACCTCCCCAGCTGTACCTATTACGTCCCTGAATTTTCAACTGTGTCATCTTTCTTGCCACAGGCCCCCTCTCGCCAAATCTCCTACCCTTACTCCACCAACCTCTCGCAAGTGCAGCCCGTGCGAGAGGTCTCCTATGGTCTAGACCCCTCAAGTAAATGGCACCACCGAAGCAATTACGCCTCGTGTTATTCCGCAGAAGATCTGATGCATAGAGAGTGCATCCCGCCTTCCACCATGACCGAAATGCTAATGAAAAACGAGAGCGTGTACAGCCACCACCACCCCAGCTCCAACCACCCGGCATCGACGGGATTCTACACCAGCATGAACAAAAACACTGTCTTGCCCCAAGGGTTCGACCGCTTCTTCGAAAATGCCTATTGCGGGGCGGAAAATCCGACCGAGACCTGCCTGCAGAAGGGTGAGGGCAAAGTGGAGGCAGAGTCCCAACCCCACGCACTGTCATCCCGCGGAGAGCAAGGTATAGACCCGGAAGATGAGGAGGAAAACACAAACCCTGGGTCTTCAGCCTCGTCCTCTTCTGTCACCAAGGAAGGAAGCAAAAGCAGCAATTCGAGTAGGTAGAGCAGTAAATGGAAAGGTTAAGGGACTAGCCCGTGTGTTTTGTCGGTCAAATTTTATGTGGAGTTTTATAAGCATTCAAAGGATTTTATTATAACCTACAAAGCTCTTTCTTCCAACGAGAAGAATTTTTACGATGGGAAAAGCTCTTTGAAAAAAATGGAGATGTTAGGCGCAGACACAGTATCTCAGAGTCTGTGAAATTTTAAAAGCACACCATCGTGACAAATATTAACTTTGATCATGAACTTACATGAGCATTTTTAAAGGATTTGGTCCCGGGTTGCTGAGGGTAAAAGGCAATTGGGCAGAACACTACTTTAGCTGCCTGTGCTTTCTTTTAGGCATTGAGATGCATGCGAAATGTTTGGGGCTTTTTTTTTTTTTTTAATTAAAACTGCATGTTGAGTCTTTTCTCTTGGTGGGGGTGCAGTGCTAAGGGGGAAATCTGCCGAATTTGCAGGCAAAGCTGAGCATTTCCTTCGACTTTTCTGTTTTAAAGTGGTATTTATTCTCCTCCAAGCTTAGTGGAGCGTCCAGCTTTTGTCAGGAAGGGCTTTTACTTACGTGGTTGTTTGCTTGGGTCTTCTGGGTTTGGTGGTGGTTTGGGTTTTGGAGGTTTGGTGTTTGGTTTTTTTTTTGCATGCACTTACATTTTCTAGGCTGTCGTAGAGCAGCTTTTTTAAAAGGCTGAATCCAGGGAACTTCACAAGTTGGCGTTCAGCGTGGGGCTCTTTGGGGAAGAGGGGAGGGTCGTTTTGTTTTCCTATTTGCTTTCGGGATGCAAGTCCCCTTTTGCAGCTCAGATGCTAAGTTCTCTTTTACTTTGATTCCTTTTTGCGTGTGTGGCGAGGACTGGAGTTAATCAAAAACTTATGCGGAACATAATATCTAGTTCCTCTAATTCCAACCTTGCTCATGCTGTTTCTATACAGATAACAGATTTGCAGCTGAGCGTGGGGTTGGGGGTTTCCCCCCTTCCCCAGCCTCTCCAAACCCTGCTGCCTCCATCCCGGGCTGTTCTTTATTTAGAAAAATAACCTATCTGCCCCGAAAATGTCTGCATGTGCCTGCGTTAAGCACCGTGCTGTGGGGAAATAATTACACCACGGTCCTTAAGACCCTGTGTAACCTCACCTCTGCTACCCCTAACAATGGGCGAACTGCTGGAAGATAATCTCCCCCCGCATTAATAACGGGAGTTATTAAACCGCTCCTATCTATGTGGTCAGCTGTGAAGATGAGCCTGTGTTTTGCATTTCCGTAGGATATTTACCCTGCCTTCTGGTTCTTTTAAGGTGCTCCCAGAACGAGGAAGAAGAGATGCCCCTATTCGAAATTCCAGATCAGAGAGCTAGAGAGAGAATTTTTCTTCAATGTCTATATAAACAAAGAAAAAAGGCTCCAGTTGTCTAGGATGCTAAATCTTACTGACCGACAGGTTAAAATTTGGTTTCAGAACAGAAGAATGAAAGAAAAAAAATTAAGCAGAGACCGCCTGCAGTATTTCTCTGGAAATCCCTTGTTGTGAACAGCTTTTGAAATCCCCTCTGCTGCGAAGTCTCCGTGTACTGAGGAGGAACAGTTGCGAGTGTGGGTTTGCCCTTTGAGCCGACAAAGCAACCTCAGAGTTTAAGCCTTTTCGTTACTTCTATTTGTATGTCTGGGACAGTGATGAGTAACAAAAGGAGTGAGATTTTCTTTCAGTTCCCGCTTCAAGGACTTGGATTCCATGAACATTTTATTTAACTTTTTTCCTTTTTTTTTTTTTTTCTCTGAACAGGTTGGGATTCCCTTTTTTATTATTATTATTATTATTTTTATTGTTATTACTATTTAGGCACCCTGTCCAGTTGAATAAATGGCAGTGCTGTGTGTTACCACCACGGTGATTTCAGTCTGCAGCTGTGTTATCGCAAGAGCGGCCAAAGTCTCCCTGTAGGATCAAATCACTTCAGCTGGGGTGAGCGTGTGTGTGAATGCACACGCAGACATGTGTGTCCTTGTGTGTGTGTTCACATTCACACCCACCCCGCTCCTCTGTGTGCTAAGGAAGATTTCCACCTCCTCCATCCACCCTTTCCAGCTCAAAAATATATATATGCATATATAGAAGGGAGTGTGTGCGTATATATCCATATATATATTCTCTGCAGTAGCGTTTCTAGATGTGGGGTCGGGAGGGGGGGGAAATCCAGGCGAAAAATCATTTGCAATAACTCTGAATGGTTTGTAAATAAGTTTTGTAGTGGTTTTTTTTTTTTTTTTTAATTTCCTGGAAATGGGAGAGGAAGAACAACAAAAGAAAAAAAAATATCCTGAAAAAAAAAATAATTAAAAAAAAAAAGTCTTTGTGTATGTAAAGTGAGTCCCCGGGATACTCTGTGAAATTCTGTGGCAAATAAAGACATTGCAAGCTGTTCTACATTATGATTTTATTTGACCATTTTATTAGAATTTCCCCTCTTAAAAGCCTCTTTGCGGTCATTGTGGTGTGGGGTTTCTTCCATAGGAGTTTAAATACCTGAATGCATAGCAGAAATATCATCATCCATATTCATGGGAGTCGCTGCAATCTGCTCGAACAGGACTGGGATTAATACCAACCCTCCACCTTGGAGTCCACGTTTGCTGCGGAGTTCATTGTATTCATCAGCGACCTGAAATTTATAGGATTTTTCTTGGCCCAGTAATCCCACTCTGAATTTGGCTCCAGATGTCTCTCGCTGTTTTCCGGTTGTAGTTAATCTTTTCGCATTTTCATGAGAACAACGTATTAGTCTGCTTAAAAAAAAAATTAAAAATAAATATCAATGAATGAAACTCTAATTACACCGAGAAACTGCATTTCCGTAAGTCAAGGATACCTTATACCTACAAAGCACAAATGCAAAGTCAAGTCCTTAAATTCCTGCTTAAGGAAAACAAGTTCAACTCCCAGGCACGGGGCATAAAAGTGATTTTTTTTTTCCCCCTCCCTGTTTGCACAATGACTTTTTTCTCGCAGTCTCCGAAAGCGACGCAACGTTTTCGAGGACAAAGAAGCCCCGAAGATGCCGTTGGTGACGTGGTGCATGAATTTTGTGTAATTACAATTCCGAAGGGTTTTTTTTTCCGTGGGGGCGGGTGGGGGAGGTGGTGGTGT